ACACTGGCAGGTTCATGCACAAGAACATCTTGCACAAGAGCACATCCACGCTGCCATGTGCTTTTGCACAAGAGCATGCACGGCAGTGTGGAGCTCTCTTGAGCAAGAAAGCTCTGATGGCCATTTAGCCACAGGGCTTTCTTGCACAAGAACCCCCTGCCCCACATCAACACTGCCCTCTTAAGCAAGCGCTATTGCACAAAGAGAGCTTACACCTGTTAGAAAAGAGCATCGCTCTTGCGCAAGAAGCCCTGTCTTCCCACGCTTTACTGTAAATCTTTTTGCGCAAGGGCGGGCGGGCAGTGTGGACGCTCTGCAGAAGAACGGCCATTCTTGTGCAAGAACCCGCCAGTGGAGACATGGCCCCAGTGTATTGAGGCTGGCTGCCAGCCTGGGAGGGAGGCGGCTGTGACGTGCTTGGGGCGGAACAGGGGGCTGGTTGTGGAGCCGAGACAATGATTTTAAGTGGCCCTCCCAGGGCAGAAAGGCCTAGACAGTGTGAAAGACTTTTACCGTGAACATATTTTCTGAACCAACATCAGAAAATATGGAGCACATTAGCCATGCCCCCTGACCCTCATCAGCCATGCCCCTGGAGGTAGTACTCCAGGGGTCAAGATGGACAGGGACCAGAACTAAAGGGTGTCATGTGACACCTCTAAGACCTCCTCCCAATGTCCTATACCAATAGGCAGGTCTACCCATGGCGAGTAGATTTAAACCCGGAAGAGCCAGCGCAGAGCAATTGGCGCATGAGCAGAATGATCTGCGCATGCACAGAGCGCAGAACCGCACGAAACCGTGCTGTTGGCGAGTGGGGCTGCCAATAGGGATGGGTTTGGCCCCCACAGGACCTCCTTCTCCCCCGGCAACTATCTTGCAATTGCATTAACCCAATTTGGATTGCATTTACTCAGGGGGATAGTCTGGGGGAAGTGTCCCGCTAAGATTTTCCTCCCGTGAGCAGAATTTTGTCTTGTGCACCAGCATTGAGTCCACTGCGGCACCTATGTTATTTATAAATATCTTATGAACCTCTCCCTTTTCCTTCTGCTTCCATGTCTCCTCTCCTCCCCTCCCCTCATCTGCTCACCTGATGCCCCCGCCCCCCGCTGTCCTGACTCCTGCCCTTCTCACTCCCCTCAGCCCTCCTGGGATGTGCCTCCTCCCCTGTGCCAGCTCTTCTCTTCCCTCTGTGTCCACTCCTCCTCTAGCCCCACTCTGATCATCTGTAGCTACCTCTCCCCATCCCCTCTCCTAATACCTCCCTCTAGCAACCTGCCCTGCCTCTCTCCTCTGGTACCCGTCCCTTCCCTCCATGTGTCCGCCCTTTTGTTTCACCACAATCCACTGGCACCTGTACCTTCCCTTACCCCTATCCAGTGCCTCCCCCTTCCCTGACTGCTCCTGCCCTCCTTGCCCTCTTTGTTCCTGGTGCCCACCCTCTCACCACCCTCTGTCCCAGTCCTCATGCCCCTCACATATGACTTGCTCCATCCCCTGCCTTCCTCATGCCCACCCCTCCCTTTAATGTCTCTTCTCCGGGCACCCACTCCTCCCCTCTGCTCTTTCTTCCTCTTGCCCCAATTGTCTCTCCCCTTTTCTCTCCCAGCATAACCCTGTCCTCTCCGCTCTCCCCTCCTGCCCTTTTTCTCATTGTCTCCTTTTGGCCCCCTGGCATTTGTCTCTCCTCCACCCTGCTCCTTGGTGCCTGCCCCTTTCTTCTCCTGCCCTGCCCCCCTCCCATCAGCACAAGCCCCTTCCTCTCCCTGCCTCCCTTTCCCTTAGTTTTTTCCCTGCCCCTTCCCTCACCTTCTGCCTTCCAGTTTGCGGGGATGGAGCCTGCGATCTGGCCCCAGAAGGCCCCGCAGCCTCAGCCCCAGCTGCTTCCGGGATGGGACTGCTTGCCGGGAGTAGAGCTGGGGCCCCCCTACCGTGCTGTGCGAGGTGTATTCCAGCTGGGGCAGCTTCACCAGAATGCGCCTCATGCGGCTACCGCTTGACTCCAGCTGGAGCTGGGCCACCCGCGGGGACCCCGACTGTGGCACTAAAAATAGCTCCACAGGCAGCCTCCGCTTCAGACCCGACTGAGCTGAGCGCACCTCACCCTACAGAGCCCCATCTGGGCTCTGCGTGGCTCCTGCCGGGCTCCAAAGAGGCCTGGAGGAGAAGGAGGCGGGGCCGCTGGATCAGGACTCTGTACAGCAGAGACTGCCCCACGAGGGGAGGGAGAGGACAGAGAGAGAAAGGGGAGGGCCACTGGAAGCTGGCCCGGCTGCCCTCCGTGCCCTGTTTGGGGAGGGGGATGAGGCTGCAGCGTTCCGCCGGTGTCCCATCAAGTACTGAAATATCCGACGTGGCTTTCTGGGACATTTCACTACTTGATGGGGCACTGGGACAAAGCATTTAAATTTGGGACAGTCCCAGAAAAAACGGGACATCTGGTCAGCATAGCTAAAGGCAATTTTTAAAACTGTTAACTGGTGTTCTAGAAAAGCTTGTAACCTTTGGGGGTAAGGAAGGAGCTGATTTTCTACATTATGTACAGGAACCTTGTTTTATGAATCTTTTGGCCATTGGAAGGATTTGAAATATTTCACCTCCATTGAAATGAAAAATAAAAAATTTAAAGAAAATGTTTTCATAAATGGTAGGTAGGTTTTGCTATAAACCTCTTAAAAACAACCCCTCCCCCCCAACAAACAAACAAACCATCCCTCGAGCTCCTTAAACTGTGGTCCATAACTACCCCATAAGCACCTTATTAATCTCTCACAAAAAACACTTCTTTTTAAAAATAAATCTCTGATCAGATATTTTAAAGTCAGTGCTTGTTTTAAGTAAATTTGATCAAGGGACTTGGTCTCTAATTGCATTTAGATATTTTTGAAAGTTTTATTCTGGGATGGGTGGGTCAGAAAGTCAGCTCTACTGTGTAATGCAGAATCCCTTGTAACTCAAGTGGCAAAGGCAGTATTTTTGAAGGAGGCCAAACTGCATTTTCTCCTTTTTGTCACCATAGAATTCTGATTAGTGCACAATAGACTGACAACTCGAAAATTCCTGTGTATCATCTCAATGAGATGATGCAGTTAAACATATCAAGGTGATATAGCTATGGTACAAACCACTGTTCTACTGTTGAAGTAATTTTGTTTTCCAGATTTATTCAGTTGGTGAAGATGAGAAGTCAGCCTCCAATTTAGAAATTCTTGTGCCGCGTGACTTGGCAGAAGGATTTGTTAATAATAAACGAGAGAGCTACAGGTTTAAGTAAGTTTACTTTTTCCCCTGATTTTTCCTACTATGTTTTACACTAAGATCACTTACAACAGTACCAGATCAGGGTTATAGCCAAACTTATTATTTTTCTTCCTACTAAAGACAGTCCATTTTCTATACTCAGTATCACCATTGCCCACAGAGAACATTATTGGGAAGGATCAGATGCTGGAGTCACTGGGACAGGCCTGTGGAGATTCAGTAAAAGTTCCTTGTTGATCTCTGATCCACACAATACAGTTTTGGTACGTTTAGTAAGATTTTTTAAACGATGTGTTAATAAGAGGAAACTTTGAGTGGTACACTACATTATACTCAACCGTAATTTCAGGGCAACACATGATAAAACTAGAAAAATTTAAAAGTTGAGCTTATATGCTTCATCAAACTATTAAAAATGCGTGAGACCTGTTTACAGGCCTGCTGCACCCATGCAGCTGGTTACATACAAAGTTTTACTATATACGAGACCAGAGTGAGGGATGGACCCGATGCTCATGCATAAGCTAACAAGCCAGCACAGGGTGGACAATGATGTTAGTCAAAGATTTGATGACAAAAATCACTTTCTAACTGGAATTTGTTGATTTCAAGGCCCAACTAAAATGCAGTAAAGAAAATCTGTTTTGTCAAATGAAAAGGGAAACCATCAGCTTAGAAAAAATGAGAAGTAAAAACAATTACTTGATAAATCCACATTTTCCATACAAAGAATGCTAGCATTTTGTATGAAATTTCATATCAACTGAAATTTGATGCTGAAAAAAATCTAAAATTTGCTGTGGAGTAGCACTTCCAAAAGTCATCTGTAGCTCATGCTGATGTCACTGGGCTGGGGTCTATGCAACACCAGTTTAGGTTGCAGATGGTCATGCCAGTTTAATGGATGCTGACATTCTCTGTATTTTTATTTTATATCATGATTTTATTGTTAATGTGGGATTTTGTGCGAATAAATTCTGAAAAAATACTGAGCATTGTGATCCTTAAGGAAGTTATTTGTTTTTTCATTTTTTTTTATAATAAATTCATACATACAAAAGGAATACTACATGCCAGACATTTTCTCTTGCCTCCTTAAAACTCAGCTGTTTTTTATTGAAGTGACTATTTTATTGAAGTGACTATTTTTATTGAAGTGACTAATAGTCATGAACTGACTATTTTCCCATGTATTGCATTTGTCTGTATAACTGTGAATCCTTTGAGACCCAGACAATATTTTTGTTCATGATCTGTGATAAACTGTAAACTTATAATGCCAAACAGAACAGCAGCATATGTTGGCGTATGGTAAATAATAGATGCTTAGATTTTTAAAATGTGATGTCCATCTATTGACTGCAGTGTGTCCTAGTTGCTACCTTTCATTGTAGATGAAAAATTGGAAGCCTGGATGTATTGTTTATATATATGCTGATTGGTTATAATGTAATTTATTTATCCAGTTTTCAGTGTGATGCCAGTTGCACACACTGATCTCCTTGATATCTGTAAAATACAGTTTTCCCCCTAAACTGCATCTTTTTATCAGAGGATTTTATTATACAGATCTTGTCAAAGCAGTACTGTTTACAATCTCTGTGTATACAATAGCACAACAGCATGCTGTGGTTAAGGCTACAGGGAAAACATTGTACTAGGTTATGCAAGCCCAATGGGGTAAACAGAGGCTAGTTACAAACAGAAAAACAAGAATTATGAATCAAGTAGTGTTTTAAAATGCTGCATGATGATTTGTTTATTATTTTCAGATTTCAGAAAATTTTTGATCAAGAGGCAAAGCAAGAGGCAGTTTTTGAAAGCATTGCCAAACCAGTTGCAGAATGGTAGGTTTTAAGCTTATAATTAGTAGTTAATATGGGGTCATCGGTAACTTTTCATATATCTTTTGAAAACAATCTCCTAATCATTTGCCATGGTTATTAAAAAATGGGTTTTGCTTTTCTCTAAATGTTGATCTATCTGAATGTGATAGGTATGCAAGAATTCCCTAGAAGTTCTGCTTATAGAAGGACTCCATCATCAGCTCCTGACTTAGCATTGCTATTTTTGCCTGTTTTGTTGACAATATATGGAAAAACAGAGTTAATATTAGGTTAATTCTTCCTATTACACTGATTTATTTCCATTAGTCATTCAGAAAAGTTAATTTCATAGCTCTCATAGTATGCAACTTAAAAAAAAAAGGTATGCATGAGGAAATCTAATCTCACTGTTCAGTTTGTATTTATAGAATTCTAGAGTTGGAAGGGATGTTGTAAGATCAAGATCAAGTCCAGTCCCCTACTCTCATGGCAGGATCAAGCATCATCTAGATCAGTGGTTCCCAACCTATTTTATACCACAGACTAGTAAACATATTCATAAACTTTAGGTGGACCAGCATAATTTTATTTGCATATTTATTATGCAAATAAAAATATGCAAATAAATGTTACCTATCCGCCAACCCGCTCACCCATTGAGCCTGTATTGTCACTGCACATCCCTCAACCTCCAACCCCAGAACCCTCTCACTCCGTCCAGCCAACTCTGGAACTCTGTGTCTTTGTATTATTAAACCTGCCAACCCCATCATCTGATATCCCCTATATCCCACTAATCCTGTTACCTCACAGTCTGTCTTGCCAAGTCTGTCACCCCAGTGCCCACTGTCTCTTGCATCTCAGCACCCCCTTCTGCCAACTTCCTTTTGTCAACCACCTCTGTCTTGCCTGGAACTTGTCTTGCATCCGTTGTCACTGACATCCTTGGCACACTGTGTCCCAGCAACTCCTGACTTAAATTGACAATGTCCCTGGATCCTGCCTCACCACTCCAATTGCTTCCTGATCCTGCCCCACTACTTCCTGGTGCCCCTTGCTCCACAAACTTCATGACTGCCTCTTGCGCCAAATCCTGATCCTTCAATTGCCTGTTCAACAAGTTCTGAGGCTGCTCCCCGACCCTGTTCAGACATCCTCAGATCTGATGCCCCTGAGACAGAAGCACGAGCTATGCTGCACTGACCCTCTGCAACCCAACTCCTCTGACCCCTACAACCCATGCCAACACCCTTTTGCTCTGTGACCCCACCGCAACCTGCCCTGCCTCTCTCCTCTGGTACCCGTCCCTTCCCTCCATGTGTCCGCCCTTTTGTTTCACCACAATCCACTGGCACCTGTACCTTCCCTTACCCCTATCCAGTGCCTCCCCCTTCCCTGACTGCTCCTGCCCTCCTTGCCCTCTTTGTTCCTGGTGCCCACCCTCTCACCACCCTCTGTCCCAGTCCTCATGCCCCTCACATATGACTTGCTCCATCCCCTGCCTTCCTCATGCCCACCCCTCCCTTTAATGTCTCTTCTCCGGGCACCCACTCCTCCCCTCTGCTCTTTCTTCCTCTTGCCCCAATTGTCTCTCCCCTTTTCTCTCCCAGCATAACCCTGTCCTCTCCGCTCTCCCCTCCTGCCCTTTTTCTCATTGTCTCCTTTTGGCCCCCTGGCATTTGTCTCTCCTCCACCCTGCTCCTTGGTGCCTGCCCCTTTCTTCTCCTGCCCTGCCCCCCTCCCATCAGCACAAGCCCCTTCCTCTCCCTGCCTCCCTTTCCCTTAGTTTTTTCCCTGCCCCTTCCCTCACCTTCTGCCTTCCAGTTTGCGGGGATGGAGCCTGCGATCTGGCCCCAGAAGGCCCCGCAGCCTCAGCCCCAGCTGCTTCCGGGATGGGACTGCTTGCCGGGAGTAGAGCTGGGGCCCCCCTACCGTGCTGTGCGAGGTGTATTCCAGCTGGGGCAGCTTCACCAGAATGCGCCTCATGCGGCTACCGCTTGACTCCAGCTGGAGCTGGGCCACCCGCGGGGACCCCGACTGTGGCACTAAAAATAGCTCCACAGGCAGCCTCCGCTTCAGACCCGACTGAGCTGAGCGCACCTCACCCTACAGAGCCCCATCTGGGCTCTGCGTGGCTCCTGCCGGGCTCCAAAGAGGCCTGGAGGAGAAGGAGGCGGGGCCGCTGGATCAGGACTCTGTACAGCAGAGACTGCCCCACGAGGGGAGGGAGAGGACAGAGAGAGAAAGGGGAGGGCCACTGGAAGCTGGCCCGGCTGCCCTCCGTGCCCTGTTTGGGGAGGGGGATGAGGCTGCAGCGTTCCGCCGGTGTCCCATCAAGTACTGAAATATCCGACGTGGCTTTCTGGGACATTTCACTACTTGATGGGGCACTGGGACAAAGCATTTAAATTTGGGACAGTCCCAGAAAAAACGGGACATCTGGTCAGCATAGCTAAAGGCAATTTTTAAAACTGTTAACTGGTGTTCTAGAAAAGCTTGTAACCTTTGGGGGTAAGGAAGGAGCTGATTTTCTACATTATGTACAGGAACCTTGTTTTATGAATCTTTTGGCCATTGGAAGGATTTGAAATATTTCACCTCCATTGAAATGAAAAATAAAAAATTTAAAGAAAATGTTTTCATAAATGGTAGGTAGGTTTTGCTATAAACCTCTTAAAAACAACCCCTCCCCCCCAACAAACAAACAAACCATCCCTCGAGCTCCTTAAACTGTGGTCCATAACTACCCCATAAGCACCTTATTAATCTCTCACAAAAAACACTTCTTTTTAAAAATAAATCTCTGATCAGATATTTTAAAGTCAGTGCTTGTTTTAAGTAAATTTGATCAAGGGACTTGGTCTCTAATTGCATTTAGATATTTTTGAAAGTTTTATTCTGGGATGGGTGGGTCAGAAAGTCAGCTCTACTGTGTAATGCAGAATCCCTTGTAACTCAAGTGGCAAAGGCAGTATTTTTGAAGGAGGCCAAACTGCATTTTCTCCTTTTTGTCACCATAGAATTCTGATTAGTGCACAATAGACTGACAACTCGAAAATTCCTGTGTATCATCTCAATGAGATGATGCAGTTAAACATATCAAGGTGATATAGCTATGGTACAAACCACTGTTCTACTGTTGAAGTAATTTTGTTTTCCAGATTTATTCAGTTGGTGAAGATGAGAAGTCAGCCTCCAATTTAGAAATTCTTGTGCCGCGTGACTTGGCAGAAGGATTTGTTAATAATAAACGAGAGAGCTACAGGTTTAAGTAAGTTTACTTTTTCCCCTGATTTTTCCTACTATGTTTTACACTAAGATCACTTACAACAGTACCAGATCAGGGTTATAGCCAAACTTATTATTTTTCTTCCTACTAAAGACAGTCCATTTTCTATACTCAGTATCACCATTGCCCACAGAGAACATTATTGGGAAGGATCAGATGCTGGAGTCACTGGGACAGGCCTGTGGAGATTCAGTAAAAGTTCCTTGTTGATCTCTGATCCACACAATACAGTTTTGGTACGTTTAGTAAGATTTTTTAAACGATGTGTTAATAAGAGGAAACTTTGAGTGGTACACTACATTATACTCAACCGTAATTTCAGGGCAACACATGATAAAACTAGAAAAATTTAAAAGTTGAGCTTATATGCTTCATCAAACTATTAAAAATGCGTGAGACCTGTTTACAGGCCTGCTGCACCCATGCAGCTGGTTACATACAAAGTTTTACTATATACGAGACCAGAGTGAGGGATGGACCCGATGCTCATGCATAAGCTAACAAGCCAGCACAGGGTGGACAATGATGTTAGTCAAAGATTTGATGACAAAAATCACTTTCTAACTGGAATTTGTTGATTTCAAGGCCCAACTAAAATGCAGTAAAGAAAATCTGTTTTGTCAAATGAAAAGGGAAACCATCAGCTTAGAAAAAATGAGAAGTAAAAACAATTACTTGATAAATCCACATTTTCCATACAAAGAATGCTAGCATTTTGTATGAAATTTCATATCAACTGAAATTTGATGCTGAAAAAAATCTAAAATTTGCTGTGGAGTAGCACTTCCAAAAGTCATCTGTAGCTCATGCTGATGTCACTGGGCTGGGGTCTATGCAACACCAGTTTAGGTTGCAGATGGTCATGCCAGTTTAATGGATGCTGACATTCTCTGTATTTTTATTTTATATCATGATTTTATTGTTAATGTGGGATTTTGTGCGAATAAATTCTGAAAAAATACTGAGCATTGTGATCCTTAAGGAAGTTATTTGTTTTTTCATTTTTTTTTATAATAAATTCATACATACAAAAGGAATACTACATGCCAGACATTTTCTCTTGCCTCCTTAAAACTCAGCTGTTTTTTATTGAAGTGACTATTTTATTGAAGTGACTATTTTTATTGAAGTGACTAATAGTCATGAACTGACTATTTTCCCATGTATTGCATTTGTCTGTATAACTGTGAATCCTTTGAGACCCAGACAATATTTTTGTTCATGATCTGTGATAAACTGTAAACTTATAATGCCAAACAGAACAGCAGCATATGTTGGCGTATGGTAAATAATAGATGCTTAGATTTTTAAAATGTGATGTCCATCTATTGACTGCAGTGTGTCCTAGTTGCTACCTTTCATTGTAGATGAAAAATTGGAAGCCTGGATGTATTGTTTATATATATGCTGATTGGTTATAATGTAATTTATTTATCCAGTTTTCAGTGTGATGCCAGTTGCACACACTGATCTCCTTGATATCTGTAAAATACAGTTTTCCCCCTAAACTGCATCTTTTTATCAGAGGATTTTATTATACAGATCTTGTCAAAGCAGTACTGTTTACAATCTCTGTGTATACAATAGCACAACAGCATGCTGTGGTTAAGGCTACAGGGAAAACATTGTACTAGGTTATGCAAGCCCAATGGGGTAAACAGAGGCTAGTTACAAACAGAAAAACAAGAATTATGAATCAAGTAGTGTTTTAAAATGCTGCATGATGATTTGTTTATTATTTTCAGATTTCAGAAAATTTTTGATCAAGAGGCAAAGCAAGAGGCAGTTTTTGAAAGCATTGCCAAACCAGTTGCAGAATGGTAGGTTTTAAGCTTATAATTAGTAGTTAATATGGGGTCATCGGTAACTTTTCATATATCTTTTGAAAACAATCTCCTAATCATTTGCCATGGTTATTAAAAAATGGGTTTTGCTTTTCTCTAAATGTTGATCTATCTGAATGTGATAGGTATGCAAGAATTCCCTAGAAGTTCTGCTTATAGAAGGACTCCATCATCAGCTCCTGACTTAGCATTGCTATTTTTGCCTGTTTTGTTGACAATATATGGAAAAACAGAGTTAATATTAGGTTAATTCTTCCTATTACACTGATTTATTTCCATTAGTCATTCAGAAAAGTTAATTTCATAGCTCTCATAGTATGCAACTTAAAAAAAAAAGGTATGCATGAGGAAATCTAATCTCACTGTTCAGTTTGTATTTATAGAATTCTAGAGTTGGAAGGGATGTTGTAAGATCAAGATCAAGTCCAGTCCCCTACTCTCATGGCAGGATCAAGCATCATCTAGATCAGTGGTTCCCAACCTATTTTATACCACAGACTAGTAAACATATTCATAAACTTTAGGTGGACCAGCATAATTTTATTTGCATATTTATTATGCAAATAAAAATATGCAAATAAATGTTACCTATCCGCCAACCCGCTCACCCATTGAGCCTGTATTGTCACTGCACATCCCTCAACCTCCAACCCCAGAACCCTCTCACTCCGTCCAGCCAACTCTGGAACTCTGTGTCTTTGTATTATTAAACCTGCCAACCCCATCATCTGATATCCCCTATATCCCACTAATCCTGTTACCTCACAGTCTGTCTTGCCAAGTCTGTCACCCCAGTGCCCACTGTCTCTTGCATCTCAGCACCCCCTTCTGCCAACTTCCTTTTGTCAACCACCTCTGTCTTGCCTGGAACTTGTCTTGCATCCGTTGTCACTGACATCCTTGGCACACTGTGTCCCAGCAACTCCTGACTTAAATTGACAATGTCCCTGGATCCTGCCTCACCACTCCAATTGCTTCCTGATCCTGCCCCACTACTTCCTGGTGCCCCTTGCTCCACAAACTTCATGACTGCCTCTTGCGCCAAATCCTGATCCTTCAATTGCCTGTTCAACAAGTTCTGAGGCTGCTCCCCGACCCTGTTCAGACATCCTCAGATCTGATGCCCCTGAGACAGAAGCACGAGCTATGCTGCACTGACCCTCTGCAACCCAACTCCTCTGACCCCTACAACCCATGCCAACACCCTTTTGCTCTGTGACCCCACCACGCCCTCACCCAGCACCCCTTTACTCTTTGGCTCCATCCCAACCTTGCACTCCCCAAAACGAGGCTGCCCCCTTCAGGGAGCTTGGCCATTACTGCGCATGCTTCCTCCTCCTTCTTGCCCCCTTCCTCATGCATCTTGTGCCCCCATGGGTCTGGGCATCCATCTTACCTGAGTAAGAGATGGGAGGAGGGAGGAAGGCACCGCCTGCTCTGCCTCCTCCTTCCGCTGCCTCAGCCCCAGTGTCGCCATTGGGGAAATCAGCTGCCATGGCTGCCGGAGCTGAAGCTGCCACAGCTCAGCAGCCAGTGGTTTGTGGCCCAAAACCAGTTGGCGGTTGGGAAACACTGGTCTAGATCATCCCTGATCGATGTTTATCCAACCTGCTCTTCAATATTTTAAATGTTTCCAGTATGATGGAGATTCCACAACCTCCCTAGGCAATTTATTCCAGTTTTTTAACACCCTGACAGTTAGGAAGTTGTTCTTAATGTCCAGCCTAAACCTCCCTTGCTGCAGTTTAAGCCCATTGCTTCTTGTCCTATCCTCAGAGGCAAAGGAGAACGATTTTTCTCTCTCCTCCTTGTGACACCCTTTTAGATACTTGAAAACTGGTATCATGTCCCCTCTCAGTCTTCTCCTTTCCAAACTAAATAAGCCCAGTTCTTTCGGTTTTCGCTCACGGGTCATGTTTTCTAGAGCTGTAATCATTTTTGTTGCTCTTCTCTGAACCTTCTCCAATTTCTCCACATCTTTCTTGGAATGGGGTGCCCAGAACTGTTCTCCAAATGAGGCTTAATCAGTGCAGAGTAGAGCAGAAAAATGACTTCTTGTATCTTGCTCACAACACTCCTGTTAATGCATCTCAGTATCATGTTTGCTTTTTTTGTAACAGTGTCACACTGTTGACTCATATTTAGCTTGTGGTCCACTATGACCCATAGATCTCTTTTTGCAGTACTCCTTCCTAGATAGTCACTTCGAATTCTGTGTGTGTGAGACTGATTGTTCCTTCCTAAGTGGAGCACTTTGCATTTGTCCTTATTAAACTTCATCCTATTTACCTCAGACCATTTCTCTAGTTTGTCCAGATCAGTGTTTCTCAAACTGTGCTTTGCGGAGCCCCAGGGCTTTGCGAGATATCTCCAGGGGCTCTGCGAGGTTGACAAACTGGAAACATTGATAGGTACAACACATACAATCAGTGGTCCACGGGGGCTCCGCATAAGTACAACACATGTATGTACTTATGTATGTACTTTTACAGTACTTTTACGCGTGTAAAGGGCTCTGGAGCCCAAAAAGTTTGAGAACCACTGGTCCAGATCATTTTGTATTATAACCCTGTCCTCCAAAGCACTTGCAAGCCCTGGGTATCACCAGCTTGGTGTCATCTGCAAACTGTATTAACTTTAATAAGATTTAAGGACAGTTATGAATGGGCCTCCAGTTTTGTCCTTACTACTTTTTGCTTAACTTACATACTTATGGTGGTATTGGTGACACTGTATATTAATTTCTCAATATAATAACTAAAAATATTAATGTTGTAGATTTAAGCTCTCAGAAATCTGCAGATCCTAAAGTTCAGATTGTTGTAGGGCCATGGCTTCATTTATTGTGCAAGTTGGATACTACTCTGTGAATAGTTGTGGTTTTTCTTTATATTTATTGTACTTGTTCAACTTGTGGCCCCATGGCTGATGTAGTCGACACCATGCATCCTGCACACTGAATTAAGCAAGGGCCCTGTGTACTGTTCCGAGCTGTCCCATCCATAGGACGGCTTGGGATTGCTGCCCCAGGCCCTCCACTTTGGGGGAGCCTGTGGTGGCCACCCCAACTGTCCTATGGATGGGAAAATGGTGTGGAAGCAGCCGGGTTTGCCCCCCCCCCCCTTCCCAATTCTCTTGTGGGGAGCGGGCCGACAGCCTGCTCTACTCTGTTCTGTTCTACCACTCACTTCTCAGTGGCAACAGGAAGCAGAGAACTCTAGCCCCAGGGCACTCTGCTTCCCACCACTGTGGTGAAGCAGGATGCAGTGGGCTGAGAGGGCACAGGGTGGGACGGAGCAGGCTGGGATGCTCTGGCTTCCACTGTCCACAGGAGTGGGAGAAGGAGGGGCCGACAGCCTGCTCTACTCTGTTCTGTTCTACCACTCACTTCTCAGTGGCAACAGGAAGCAGAGAACTCTAGCCCCAGGGCACTCTGCTTCCCACCACTGTGGTGAAGCAGGATGCAGTGGGCTGAGAGGGCACAGGGTGGGACGGAGCAGGCTGGGATGCTCTGGCTTCCACTGTCCACAGGAGTGGGAGAAGGAGGCAATCTCCCCTGCCATCATGCCAGGCCCCCTGTAATCCTCGGAGCCATGCTGGGAGGGAGCAGAGGTGAAATGGGTGGGACTTGGGGAAGGGGTGGAGCGGGGATGAGGCCTGCAGTGGGGTGTGGTTGCCCCAGGACCCAAACTCCCCTCAGGATGGTTCTGGTTCTATTATCATTTGTTTTTAAGCCTTGCTTTATTCACTGCACACAATCCGATGTGGAAGTTCCATTTCAGACTCTGGCCTCATTCGCTACACAAGCTTATCTCATTCATTGTGTAACCTGCATACTAAATCAGGATGTGGGCCTGCAGGAAAAAGGAGTATGTGTTCAGATAATTAATGATTGTATTTTAATGCATATACCCAAGTGGCAGAGTTAATTTTGTACAGATTACAGAAAATATTGCGATAGTTTAATGCGTTTTGATGTGTGCTGACATATTTGAAAGAACATGATCAGCATGAAACTGGGTCCATTTCAAAATATTTATTGAAGGTAGTTTCATGTAGCACACTTAACCTTCATTAATTGCTGTGGCTTTACAATTTTTCTCTGTTCGTTTTTTCATTGTATGTTTTTCTTTCCCCTGTTGTTGCATAAAACATCCTCACAAATAAGGGGAAATTGACTATGCAGAGGAAACAGTCAAAGTGAAATTGACAAGCACAAATTGACCAACTGGAAACATAGAGAGAGAGAGAGAGAGAGATGCAATCTCTTAATAATTTCTTTCAATTAGCAATCTTGGGCATTGCTTGTAACAGTTTCAGGGGTTTTTTCAAGTTGATAGTGTTGTTTGTAACTGTAACGTGTCCAACCATTAATTCCTCCATTAAGTCCTTATCTGGGCATAAGCTCATTAATCTCAACAGGAGTTTTGCTTTCATAGTACTTTCAGGTTAGGCTGTAAATGTGGAACAGCTTGTCAGACCATTATATTGGTGATAACAGGTTAATTAAAGGCTGGAAACATACTTTCGGAGTTAGAATTTAGGTAGGAATCTTTGCAAAATACCAAACTTTTATGTGGAAAAGATGGATTTTTTAGTCTAACCATCTCTACTGAAAATGGAATTTTGCTAATTTAGCTATAGAAGGAGAACATTGTGTTTCCCAATTCTGTGCTTAAGAACTTGCTCTTTATGGTTATAAATTGGTAGTACAGGACGCCCCTGACTTGCGACTGCCCAATTTCTGACCCCCCGCACTTACAACCATTTTTGTAAGTGCGGAAGGAGCCGAAAACCCCTGCCTTACTTCTTCGGCCCACAAGTCAGGAGCTTCCTGTACTGCAATTTTGCATGCATCAGACAAAAGGACAATGCAGTTGTCTCACACTTAAAATAGACGAGACTTTCCCAGTATATATCTTTAATTTTGTGAAGCCTCACCACATTGCTGATCCCTGTAAAATGTGCCGGTCAAC